TTTTTTTTTTTTTAATGCATGTAGTTAATATGTGTTATAGCRGCAAATGAAACGATTTGTGCGAAAAAAACAATTATATAACGATAATCATAGAACTGGTTTAAAAATTTAAATCAGCCTTTCTCCAATCGTTCATTCACTTTTTTCGTCATACATTTTTTTCTAACAGCAGTTGATTTGCTGACTTTTCATTATCGCATAATATTTTCAACTGAGTTTATTGGGTGTACATTGMTGTGTGCATATTTTTATAAAAAATTAATTTGTGTGTTAGGAAATATCRAATCTTTACAATTAATCACTGAATTGATAATGTTTAACGACGATATAATGAGATTTTCTAAAAAAAGAACCAACTAACACTGCATTACAATTACTTGGCAGTTATTTTTATATTGAACTGATTTAGTCATACTCAACTATTTGGACTCATCGAAATTAAAATCAGTTAGGTATTAATTATCTTTGCGAATAAAAGAACAAAAGAAATAAACAAATGTTGTACGTAATGAGAGACTGATGTTATTTAATTAGAGAATATAATTCAAACCGTTATAATAATTGTACGACGAACGTAATGTAGAAAGTTAAGTTAAACGGATTTTAATTGAAATTGTGCCACAATAAATATGCTATCAGGAAGTAATAGTGTTATAGTATTATTAAATATGTATATTTAAAATTGTTACCTTTAACACCATACAATTCWAATAACAGTAAAATTCAYATTATTATTATATTTATTCACGTAATTTATATATTTTATGAAGTAGGTCGTCCGAAATTATTGATAAAAAAAGGGGATATGAAAATAATTATTTATATATATATGAAATTTGAAATTTGAAACGCTGGAGCTGTAACTCTTATAAATTTGTCAACTAGGTTAAACAGGACCTTTTTTTGAATATTATTCTTATACAATTTATCATTTTCTTCTAATCTGGTGAGCTACAGCTATTTGTTCTGATAATAATACTATCTAATGGTATTCAAATCGTTTAGGTACCTTGAAATTATGCAATAACTCAATACACGATATTTGTATTAATAAATATTACCTGCATATCATAATTTATTATTATTAAAAAGTTTCAAGGAAACAAACCTATGATTTATCTGAACAGAAAAAAAATATTTTAATATATGTATACATGCAAGTGTAATATAATGTAATTCACATAATACAGTTTGAATATTTTATAGTTATTATTAACAATTAGAAAAAAACTTACAATATCTGTAATTTTGTGTTTCTTTTGAACAACAATGGCACTTCAATCAAGTGATTCCGATGAAACCTCCTAAAAGCGTCGCATACAAAACAATTTATTATTTTTATACTATTGACAATACACAACTAATTGTATTAAACTATATTATTTATTTTACAATTTTGTGAGGTTTTCCAGTGTGTTGAAAATGGCTGTGGGCACAAAGTCGATGTCGTTGTCCGTCAGGTCCCTAAAATGTACACGAGAGCAAGTTATTTAGCATAACGCTCGGGCGCAACACTAACCGTGGTACATAAAATATATTAGGGAATTTCACTTACAGTTCCGTTAAGTTCGTCAGTCCCTTAAACGTGTCTTTGTGCAGGGACACTATACTGTTCGTGCTCAGGTCTCTGAAAAATCATAAACGTTGGTAGACGTAAAATAAAAATTAAAAACACCATTGCAAGAGACGATAGTCTTTTTTAAACAGACTATAATAATATCATAACCTATTGTACGTAATATTATGTACATTCAAAAATCGATTGCCATTGATTCATTTTACCGTAAGCTTCTTGAGATGTTTTTTACAAACGYGGCTGTAAAAGTTGAATATTTAWCTCTTTCTAATTTATTGTTATTAATTTAGTTGATGATAAAGATCGTGAAACAAAGATAAACGATTTTCGGATTAAAATTTGTAACCTAAATAAACGTATTATTACCCTTATAGCTATATCTGTACCTAATTTCCAAAGTAGGTAGTACCTACCTCATAACATTAATCTGACAATTTATCGTCTTGCACTTTTATTAAAACTCACTTGCAGGACTCCGCGCTGACCGAATAATGTCARATAAATAAATAACACAATATTATTATTATGATAAAATGTAAAGAGGTCAATAGAAACTACTTCTAATCAGGAATAAACATTTCTCAATCGTTCGTTTATTTATTTATTTAATTTTTTTCTTTTTTATATAGATCGAGGCGTGTATATGAGTGTTTGATCTAAATGATACATATTTTTTTAAATCACGCGCTCGATTATTTGTTGAGCATACACATTTTGTGATTTTTTAACTGTTACACAATTTTTCTACGATGATAACAATGGAAAAAGATTTAAACATTACACGATTTTTTACGTTGTCTGCAGCAAATGTGGTTTAAAAATAAAAATTGTATCAACATTGATTGCTAAAATAATATTATAGTTTTTACAACAACAGTAGCTGCAGAGCATAAATACATAATCATTTTTTGTCTCTCTTCTGAGACCTAATACATGTATAGCGGTATAAGCCTAACTATCTGGTAATAATTTCTCATTTTTCACATATACATAATATAATACCTATTATAATGGTCGCCGAGTTAGTGACCTCGTTCGAGGAATTATTGTTGTTTGATGGGTTTTTAAGCGGTTCTCCGTGTCTAAAAAAGTGTAAATTTATCGTGAATGTTTCGAAACGATCATTCGATATGATTTAATAATCAGCATCGGCGAGTGATGATTAAAATATAGTATATTAAATATTATGTTGGACGTTGTAAGGAAGGGAATTTGTTATTTGTTATGTTTTAACTGTTGGCCCAGCGATTGCCATGTTTTATAATATCATAATATAATGTAATAGGCACGAGTTGAACGACATTCTCGTAATATTTACATTGCGCTGACGTCGAACGGCAGTGTTTGGCCCGGTGGAATTTCTTCAAAGTCCTTTCTCCAACAGCTCACCGAACGCGTTTCAGTCCTGCACTTGCACGGCCCGTGATTGCAGCGCTTCCACCGGGAGACTCCGGAAGTAATTGTCCACACTGAAACGGTTAATATATTATTAWATACCATCACCAATATTAATTGTTGCACGTTTTTATCTTAGATAACTAACACGCCACCCGCACCGTATTCTATAATAACAGACATATCAGGGGCTACCTATTATATATATTATAATATAACGCATTTCTAGTAGACACTTGGGGGATAACCATAGTTATACAGGCTGATTTTCCCATCATTCTCACCCCCTAAAATTTTTATTTAAAAAATGCATTTGTATTCTAATTTTTTGATTTTTAAAACATACACATTATTTAATATGGCTTTATTTTTGGAAATGCATTGATTTGTTGAACCATTTCAGAAATTCCATCTTCTGTTTTAACAACAATAAACWTCCATTTTTATTTTTAAAAACAGCTTAAAAAATGTATATAAAATAGACGTTATGWTTGATCAAGTACTTATAGTATCATACTCATATAATTTTACGAATTTTAAAAAGTTAATACCATACTATAAAATTAATTACTAAAATGTTCAAATCATTAAATCCTTCATATCTTGAAGCCCATTACATGGACTATTATATAATCAACATCATAATGTTTAATAACTCGGAAATTATTCGTTTAAATTTCAATTGAGATACCTACATCAAAATTCCCAAAAACCACCTGTTAAATAATTTACCGTAAAAAGTGGATCGCATTTCAAAAACAAAAATKTATATCTCCATGGGATATTCCTAGTCTTTAAATATTATAGTATGAGTTAAATGTATATGTTGATTATGTAAAAAGAGTGAACGAAAAGTTTYGATTTTCTCAGTGAGAAAAACAGTAATTTATAYAAAATGAACGTTAAAGACGGTTTGCTGCTCACTATGTTTAAAACTAACATAGGCAACTRTGTACTGAATTGCGTACCTATACAATTTTTGAATGACTTCATAWATTTTTATTTAAATTGATAAATTTAAAATGCATGTTGACACTAAAAAAGAAAACTACTAAAAACTAAAACGACGAAATGTAAAGTAGAATATGCATTGTTTTTTACTGCTTKATAGTTAAAATTTTGCAAAAAAAATATTTTCATTARCACTAATTTCGTTTTTTCAAATAATGATTATCTTAARTTAAATGTATCATATAKTATACAATATGTTATAATAATATARGTATACTCGCCGGGCTGTTCGACGGACCGGAGTCGTCTGTCCAACCTCTGTAGCCTGGCCTCTAGCTGTGCACTCCTATCCCCGGCCACACCTCCCAACCCGTTAACTCCATCGTCGCCACGCAGTTTGTCGTTGATCGGCCGCACTGCGTTGGCCAGGTCGTCGCGCATCCTCACGTACGCYTCGCAGGCGTTCAACACACACACGTCCACCCGGCCCACTGACGTTACGTTTCCGCTGACGTCCATCCACGCCGGCCGGACAAGCGATGGTGGTCCGACCGCTTTGAACAGAGTGCCATTAACCGTGGCCGCGACCGCGTAGCACCAGAACCACGTGGTGAGTTGCTGCAGCCTGGCAAATGCCAGTACAATGGTCAACGCCGTGGCCACTCTGTTTGGTCGTGGTCGCCTCCTTGCACCCGCTTCGAAAATTCCACATATTTGGAATGTTAGCGACATGACAACGATTGGCCTGAGTATTGATTTGGTCGCTCCAACTTGTGGATCACAATTTTGTAAGGGATTTCGCCGACTTTAGAACGATTAGATCGAGATATACTATTTTAAACTAAAAAAAAAACACATTTAATCCTTTACGAAGCGAATAAAGCGAATAGGACGCCMCACTCATGTGTGTTGTATTAAACGAGTACGTACCTACGATATAGAAAATTTTCAGTTCAGCATTTTCAATTTAGTATGATGGATTTTAAAAAGTGAATTRACGCTATGATTAAACTTAAAGGTATGACTTATGATCTGTCTTTTAATACAGGGAGTTTACGAAACTTTAATTTTTGAGAAAGTTATGATAGTATACATTATTATGCATAAAATATTACAATATTTAAAGGTTCTCGTAACTTTGCTTAGAAATTAAAATGTCATAAAATAGGTACTCACGAGAAAACAAGGATAATGTTGTTAAATTTATGATTGGTA